GGCCCCCAGCCGCTGTAGAGAAGGCAAGGCAGCCTGCCTGTCACCGGGGGTGCACACCCCAAAGGTGGCCAGGTCTCGGGGGCCCCAGCGGGCCTGCTGCACGGCCCCCAGGAAGGCCCGCTCATAGGCGCTCAGAACCCCCATGACCTGCAGGGGGGTGCCGCTGCCATTGCTGTCCCCACCCAGTGCCACCAGACACAGAGGCTCTTGTGGGCTGCCTGGCGGCCAGTCCAGGTCTTCTCGGAAGATGAGGCCACCGGTGCCCACAGCTGGTTCTTCTGCTCTGAGGGCCTCAGTCCCCAGCAGAGCCCCCAGGGCGGACAGCACCAGGGTCAGGCTGGTGAGAGGCAGGTCCCGCGTCATGGGTGCTGCCAGGGGCTGGGCTGCCCGCCTTGTGGAAGCCGAGTGGAAGGTGGGGTGTTTGTAAAGGACAGGCCCCTATCTCCTCTGCCACGACCTTGGGGGACAGTGCCCGACGCCCCCACTCCAGGCAGAGTGGCCTTCTCAAAGAGCCCTTTCTGTCGCCAGCAGGCTATCTCCCTCCCCACAGCGATAGAGCTGGGCCTGATTTGTCAACATGCTGTCCTTGAGGGCCCGTCCCCAGAAGGCACAGGAGTGGGAACCAGGCTGGGGGTGATGGCCAAGCAGCCAGACTAGACAGCGCTGGGGGCGGGGGGCCCAGATGTCCTGGGTGCTAAGGGGTGGGCCTGGAGGAGGAGGGTCCCAAGTCAGTGGGGGCGCCCTGTCCCTGCTCACCCTCCCAACCCCTGGTGGGCTATCTGGAGACCCCAACGATATCACAAGAGTCTGCTCTTCCCTCCCCAGGACAGGACCCCAGACCCCCTCCTAGCTGGCTGGTGGAGTCTGTCCTCCACCAGGCCACCTCCCAGGTACAGCTGTCTCTCAGGCCTCCCACAGGTGTCTCCTGGCAGGCCCCAGGCCCTCCCCAGTCGGCGCAAACTCAGGGATGGTGCTGTGCCTGGCACTCCCACACAGCACTGACAAGGGAGGGCGGCGCTGCAGACACCAGTGCATGCGGGGCTGGGGAAGGCTGTTTAATGAGCAGGGGGCAGTACAAAAGAGCAGCCTTCTCTCGATGGCAAAAGGCAGGAGCACCTGGCGCTGAGCTTGCTGGGGGAGGGAGCAGCTTCTCAGTTGGTTGGGGGAGGGGGAGGTATGTTCCCTGGGCCTTCGGAGGGGAGTGGGGGCCTCAGCATTGGGGGCATGGGAGTTGGGGGGTGTACCCCAGGATTTGAGGGGTGAACTCCAGGAGGCTGAGGGTGGACCCCAGGAGCTGATGGATGGACCCCGGGAGGTTGGGGGTGGACTCCCGGGGCCTGAGGGTGCATCCCTGGGGCTGGTGGGTGCACCCCCGGGGCCTGAGGGTGAACAGCAGGGGCTGCTGGGTGTACCCCTGGGGCCTGGGGGTGAACCCCCGCTGATGGGGGAGGATGGACTCCCGGGGCTGGTGGGTGAACCCCAGGGGCTGGTGGGTGGACTCCAGGGGCTGGTGGGTGAACCCCGGGGGCTGGAGGGTGAACCCCGGGGGCTGGAGGGTGGACTCCAGGAGCCGGGGGGTGGACCCCAGAGGTTGGTGGGTGGACCCCAGGGGCTGGGGGATGGACGCCAGGAGCTGGGGGATGGACCCCAGGAGCTGGGGGATGGACGCCAGATGTGGGGGGATGCACCACTGGGGCCGGGGGGTGGACCCCTGGAGCTGGCGGGGGTAGCTGGGGTGGTCCCGGGGGCCCTGAGGGCGCAGGCCCCGTGGGGGGCATGGGTGGCAGAGGTAGGCCTCCTGGTGGTGGTGGTGGCAAAGACTCGGGCAGCGGTGGCCGAGGGGGCAGACCATTCATCAGCGGGGGT